GTCATTTTCATCGTATCTACGCGATATTCATTTCAAACGTTGATCATATTACTTTTATTCGTATAACTGTGGTTTGTTTAAATTTAAAACGTTGTTACTTCGTGTTGTACTGTCGCTTTAACGTTTTATTTTGCTTTGCCAAGAGTTCAATATAAATAAATGATATCTACGAGGTGTCCCATGGTTTCGAAATTAATCCACGTGAGCGTTATTGTCAGTTGTCAACTTTGAGTACTGGTCATCAAATATACTCGTATTATTTAAAAGATTTTGTATACATACGCAACGTGTATGATTATGAATTCGGAATAAAATAATTGTACAAAATGAACAATGTATTTATGAAAAAAACTTTTAGGGAAATTGTCAGATATATTTTCATTGGTATTTAATAATTTCGAGAACTTTTGACTTTAAATTTAAACAAAGGCGATTTTTTCCTCTGATAATAATTAAATAGGCGAAAAAATTACAATACAAATAATAATACGAGTATGTGAATGAATAAACAAATCGTTTATATATTAAAATAAATAAATAAAAGCTTAGTAGGAATTTCTTTAGCGATTTATTTTTTCATATTCAGTCGCCATTTTATCAATTTTGTATACACCTGATAATTATTTTTCAATTTGAAATCGGTCGTATTATACAAATATAATAATACTTCAGACTAGGCTTTTATTTATTTATTTCTATATATAAAATATTTGTTTATTTATTTATATTTTAATTTACAAGTATTAATTATTTATAAATTTCAATTTTAATTTATTTTTTTATTATTTTTTACTAATAATAAGTATGGACATTTGTATACATTAATTGCGTAAGAGCAGCGATTTGAATTGTACGAAATTAAAAAAGCAATACACTAAAAGTAAACTCGTGGAATTGATGAAAAAAACTTTACCGAAATTAATTATGAAAAAATGATTTCAAAGATAAAATAATACTAAAAATATAAAAAGCTAAAATATAAAAAGCAAATAAAGATTTATTGTAAATTAAATAACAAAACAAATATCAATATGTATCAAATATTATTTTTAAACCTTTTTTATATAATTTAAACAAAGCGTTGACATATTATGAAGAAATATATTTGTTTTACAATATACACCACATATTGCAACTTCCGACTTATAATATACTAACTAATAGAGTTGACGTAATTAAAAAGAATGTGTTACTTTTAGACAACGACTATGATTATGGTACCATATCAATATTATGTTCCGAATCGTTGTTTATAATAATATCATATTATGGTTGTTTTTCGTAGTAGACATAAAAAAAAAAAAACAAAAAAAGGTAATAATCAAAATAAATTAATAAAAAAACGGTGGAATAGGATAATTAGAAGAAATTATCGCTGAAAAGACGACTATCGTCCGTACTTACGACCGTTATTATACCATCGTGGAGATATTAATGTGCGCGCGCGATAATAAGAAGTCCGTCCGCTGTCACAAACGCAGTAATGTTCGAAAAATACGAGGTAAAGTTTTAACTAAATGTTCTTCGTATATTGCGGAATATTAGGGGATGATGGCCGGAGGGCAGAATATTAAACCGCGTTATTATCCACTTGCTATAAAATTGCAGACCAACGACGTAGTAATGCGACGATCTCACACAGCCGCTGCAACCACCGACGCGTATAAAGCCGTATATAACCTCTCGTTTTATTTTCAACAAATCGAAATTTGTTCATTATATATATTTACCTAATCATTATTAGAAATAATAATAAATTATTATTTATTATAACGGTGACACACACGTTATTGGGATACGAAATCTGTTAAAAACAATCTTATAACTTACTGATAAAGAATTGATCAATACATGTGACAGTAGGTATAATATTATTTCTTATTTAAGTAACAATTAACCGACGTTCTACTTCTGATATTCATCATCTAAGCCTATTAATCGTTGGTCTAATAATAAATAATAAAAGTAATCGTTAAAAAAATAGTCATAAAACAATAGGGTTTTCTGAAAATAAAGTTTTTTTTTTTTTAGAACGCTTTGAATGCTGCTTGGAAAATGGAAAAAAGTTTGTAAAACCACTCTGGTCACCTCAAACAAACTATCAAAAACACTCTATCAATATTAGCCACATGCTATAACGGGAATTGTCAATATCCCAACGGAGCTGTTAAAGTGATAAATGTTTTCAAATTTAACGTTTCGACTTAATGCAATATTAAAATTTTAACCGATGGCTTGACGATGACAATACTGAAAAAAGTTGGTAATAATTACAATAAAAATAATTATGCTAACATGGAACGGCCATTGGTGAACTTTCCGGTGAAAGCAATTAAAACTTTGGAAATTAATTGGTTTATCGTATAGTATATATAAAAATATATATATTTCTTTATTTAAATAAAATATCTATCACCTTTAAGCAAATGCTTGTGGTGGTGGTAGAGAGTTATATAACATATTATGAACAATTTAATTATAAATAAAAAAAGCTGATAAGAATTGAATAATATTGAGATTAATATAAAGAATAAATAAAATACATGAAATAAAAAAAAAAGAATATAATAAAAGTAGTAATACATACAATTTGAATAATTATTAATAACAATAAATTACAACAGTTAAATATAGTTGCTTATTATTTAAGTATTAAAAATAAACAAATTTGAATTTTTTTTTTCATTCCTATATTTATACAATTCTCTTCTGTATAAAATATTTCCCTTTTTATATTTACTGACATTAAGTTGAAGTTTTTTGGACCTAGATAGTCTATGAATTTTTGACCAAACACTTTATTAGAATATTCCATTCTCACATCAAATGCTTTAATTTTTTTCTTTTAACTATTACCTTTTTCATATCCAGATAAGATTCAAAATTTTTAATTATGTAGACAAAAAATATTAGCTTATAAACAGAATGGTAACATATCTAATAACTTAAAATTTTCTTTAGTTGAATCAATTAACGTATTTTTACTATATCCTAAACATTTTTTATTGTAAAAGTTGTAAAGGTTTAGACGAATTTTGGTTTAGTCCTCCCAAACTAATAAAACATATTGGAAGTATATATATATATAAGTAAAGTTACATAATTTGAATCATAGAGATAAAAATAAAAAGTGCTTCAAATTGTTCATGCAATAGAGGCGTGTTTTTTACTATAGTTAGTTTTTTTCTCTGAAAACGCGTAAAGCGATAAAATAGTTCAATACTATTTAAATGTGTTTCTACATATATAGTTTTAAGTTTATGGTGAAAAGTTTAAGAAATAGAAAATGAACAACTTCAAAAACATGACGGATGTAATTTACCTATAAGTGACAGCACGAATAGATTAAAAAAGTTGGAAATAATAACACATTTGCCTACTCTCTCGTCGAACTTGATAAAAGTTTAGACTGTGCTGAGGACAAAATACCATTATTATGCCCTAATCGAATTGATGTAAAATTTTTAAATATATTGCCATCCGAAATGTCGAATGTCTTCGTCAACTTTGCAGAATTTAATCAAACGATTTTTAATTTATAAAATATATTCTAAAAGTCGACAAAAAGTATTTAATATTTGAACTTATTTGGCTAAACATTTTTAAAACATTATTTTATACACAGAAACCCATAAAACGATATAATAAACGTTGCTATTTTACCAAATGCTTGTGGCATGTGGATGAACCGTGAGTGGTATCCGGGTCAAATGCGGCATTAAGAACTTAAACGAGGATCACAGACGAGATGACGATAAATAAATAAACAAAGGTCGTCGAGTAAAATACTGTACTGAGGCGGGTCGCTCTAGAAGATGACTGTCTTCTAGTACAAAAGTAATAATATCCAAATGCACAAACAGTCCCAAAAGAAGCTCGGTTGTATAGTCACCAACTATGTGTAACCAACTACTAATGGTTATTACAAAAACAAAATATTGATCCAAAAAAATAAAATGATATTATAGATAGATTCAAGGATTTAGATAACTCGAATTCTTGACGGACTACTTTTCTTTCCACTAGTTTTGTATAATTATAGGGTAAAATGTGTTAGACATACAAACGCAAGAATTACAAATAAAATAATAAAAGATTTAAATAACAATTTTGTATAATAACAATTATGTTTAATTATAATAAGTACTAGACGTCATAATATCATATCAAAAAATGATTTATCGTTTCTTATTGGTGTTATGGTTAAACGGTAACAAAGAAATGACATGTAAATTAACATTATATTCGTTCGTACGAACTATCACTTAAACTTTTGAATTCAAATCACGATTTAATTTTACTAAAACACTCAATCTACACAACGAATATGATAATAAAAATATTATAATATTTTTATGACCATATTCGTGGTTTAACTAAATAAAACATTAAATTGCATAAATAATGTAATTATGCCCGTCACGCGCGAACGTCAGAGCTCGGGGTATTACCGAAAATATCATGTAAATCATACGAAATTGCACAGTAAACGAAAACTTTGGTTTTTATTTTTATTTTTATTTTCGTCCACACTGGTTCAGTTAGCACAACAATCGACACTATATTCCACGGTCGAATCGTTCTGCTTTGGTTATGGACGTATTCGAGGGTCATCACCCAGAACTGAATTGACCGATTCAACAATATGTGTATGGAGTGCATTATTATAATTTGGTCCGTCTGACCCGATAACTGATATCGGTTTTTTCGGTTCCACGGTGATTGTTATTATTGTTATTATTATTATTTATCTTTTTATCGTTGTTGTCACAGACAAAGGGGGAGCAAAATAAAGGACCGCTGTCAAATTTTCGGGATTCTGTTTGCCACATCACCATCGTGTAATATAGTAGCGGCGCACGGTTACGACCACACCACCGTGGGTCAGAAGAGAAGAGTTTTATTGCAATATTACCCTCTGGTCCCGTAGCGGAGACGTGCGTCCCCTACCCACCTTTTTCACCTCCCCCCCAGACTAAAGTTTAACATCATTATTTTACCTTATCTCGGATTTCTTGTCTCATTTTTTCCCTCTCTTCCTCCATCTTGCGATGTTTCTCTTTACGTCTCTCCTCGGCTTCTCGGATCGCTTCCAACCGTTCCCTCTCGGCTTCTGCGTTTTTCTCTTTGTCCTCGGCCGATTCACCGCCATCGCCTACTGCTCCTGTAAAAAAAAAAAAAAAGAAAAAATGTTTAAAAAATAAATATACAAGCATCTTTTGTTGTACACGTGCGCGCCTGGAATCGACGTCTTTGAAAATAAAATCTACTTTTAGCCGCAATTTAGATTATGACGATTGTTATAATATGTCATCCGTTTTTTTTTTTCAAATCGCTAGTAGATATCCATGGCGGAGATGGCCACTAGTGCCAAACTAAGTGTACATATTTTTCGTTATAATCTAAAAATTAATCATGTAGAGGCATTTATTGTATACTATATCGATTAATCGTCAACTATACTTCTCCCCTCCTGATCATAACTATAAATTCACGGTGTTATGGTATTATCATGCTTTAATAAATTATTAGTTCTATGTAAAATATTATTTCATTTTTAATCTTTAAACCTGAGTAATAAATATAGGTGATATAGATGAACAACGTAATAACATTAATACAATAAGAACGAATGTGATTAATGTACCAAACGTGCTTGGGTACTATATTATTATATTTAAAAAGTTAAACAATAACAGCGCGAGGTAATATTATAATTGGTAAATATGATTTAAATAGGCCCAGAGAATATGTTATTTTCACAGAAACGGGTATTGATTATTTTAAGTGACCATAAGTGGAAAAAGTATGTGTATAGTTATCATGATCATAACGAATATGTATACAAATAAACAAATGCCGTAATTAAAATGCGTTTGTCGTAAAATCGTTCAAATCGAGTCTCACGTCATAGAAAGAGCAATATTATCCGCGCAAAAAAAATTACATGAACCGATATTTCATGATATTATATTAATGCGATTAATATTATTACTATATCATTGTCCTAGAGTAAAAAATCTAAACACCGCATTGACGCGAAATGACGTTTTAGTGATACGTTGTTCATAGACTATGGTGCCTACGAGTTGTTTTCGATGTGTGTGTGTTACAAACAAACATCCCGTCCGGTACTATTCGGATACTATTTATATTAATGTCGCGTTGGCCGGCCGATTTCAGAATTTTTCATGAACTCGATATAATATTAATCCGTGGTTTACCAACTGTAAATTCGCGATGTATTACTATTACCGTTTTGGCGTATTGTTAACGACGACCGCGTGCATTGTTGTCATCCCGGAGAGCAGAATACAGAGCAACTGGAATATTTTAAATGATTTTACATGTTTATGTATGTTCCAACAGCTTCGTGAGTGTGTATTATTATTTTGTCGCAGGAAAAGTGCGCACGGCCTGCAAACGGTAATAACTCATGATTGGTTTCGCGTTCCTGGGCCTTTGTAATTCATAAAGCGACGATTTCGTATTGCGATACGCTGCATCAATTTAAGTACGTGAAGCATAATATGCGTGCATGTATAACGATGCATATAATACCAATGTGTAAATGATCATGTGAAATACAGAGAAACGCGATCGGCGCAGCAGTAGTGATGGACGATGGAAGCGATTAGTAAAAGGGTCGTTGTTTTCACTGCAAAAAGCGAGTGGACAATTAAGAATTATTATAGGTGCAAGCATATCAACCTCCTTTATTGTCTCCAACGCGATATTTCAGAAAAGTATCTCCCGCGACGACGACGGTGCACCGGTGTCGAGAGCAGTAGTAGTCGAGTACGGCCGTTTAAACGATATTCATAACCCAGGTTGACGCTAGCCACCGGGATCCGCGGAAAATCATCGAAACAGATAAACATCAAAATTGTTTGGTAATATTTATGTCGGGCTTAATCGCGTATTCAGCGAAGCCATTCGTTACAGGGATTGACCGTGCATAGAGACAATACACCCGTGGTTTGAACAGTCACGTTCTCCGGACGTGAAACATTGATGTAAGCTTGACCGAGTTGAAAAAAATAAAAATTGAACATTTTAATGTCTTATAAACGGTTCGATACCGATTTCACTCGGTATAGATTGTATACGAAAACGAATTCTTACGCACTATAACGTTTATTTTCAACCAAATAGCGTAATATTATAGTAGACCGGTTTAATATTATATGATCGTTGTTTAAAGCTTCATAAAAACGTCCGTTTAATCGATTGTTATGGAATCCTATAACTTGAATTTAATTCCTCTTGAAATGCTATTACTCCCTGTAATTTCACTGACTCAGTAATGTATTATTCCAATTATTATTTTTTTTTCGGGAAGCTATAGTTATGCGTCTATCCAACTTTTTAATCAGATTACTAACTATTCATCGGCTTAAAACTCTCGACTTGCGACAACACGTAGCTTAATTTCGATATAACCTCTTACAAAGGTCATACACTGAATTTAAATTATCTTTTCGTTATGTTGTGGTAAATCTAAATAATGACGTATCTATAGTATAAGCGTAAGAAGACTATATATATAGTTATGTTGATAAAACCGCTGATACCCAGCAACAGACACGGCAATATAAATACATAAGTGCTATCCCATATTAATTATTCAATTATATTATATGTTTTATAAATTAATATTGTTTTGGTTTTATATGTTAAAAAAAAATCACGTTGTCATAATTAAAAACACAAATGAACAACGAACATATAAATTGATAATATTATATATTGGCGTAGTTTCGACTGGAATACCGCTAATTAAACCAGTATAAGCTATAAACTAATTAGTCTATGATATAAACCATTGTACTTTCCGTGTATTTATAAAAATTCGTTAACACTACGATATCTTGCGGAGCGAGCAATGCACGAAACTAGACTACACAAAAACATCATGCATGGAACACGGTACTCGCAATGTTTACATATTATGTTCTTTATACAATTATGTTATAATATGTTATTAAAACTATGGAAGAAAAATTCAATTTGCTGGAGGGACAGCTGCCCACCCTGCTTCCCCCGTTCATACACCTATGATCTATACGCCATACTCTTTCAGCCGATTACTGCAGCTTATTACCTTGTCTTTATACGCTGGTTAGTGCAGTGATGGTGTAATTAATACTCATAATCATAAGGCTTTTGAATTAATCATTTAGTAATTATGTATTGAATTAAAAATAAATTGAAATGTAAAATAAATAAATATATATAGTAAATATATGTATATTTTTTTAAACATTTTTTTTTTTATCTGATTGCACTTTATTTAATTTAGGTCGTTATATTACGGAATTTAAGTCAATATTGTACAAATATCGCCATTGTAACTTATATCACATCGACTCTGCTTTGTAGAATTTTAAAAATATTTACTAATCCCGAATCAATGCAATAGCTGGTAAAAAATAAAGTGTTAAGTTTCCATGTTACTCCATATACTCAATAATATAATGATAATATATAAGTATATAATATAACGTAATAAATAATATAATTATATAAATAGATATTAAATTAAATTTGATACTTATTGATATGTTTACAATGAATTAATCCTCCGCTCTTTCGCATTCATTCTATAATAGTGATCATTATCAATGACTGTAACCGGGGGCTTACAAACTGCTAATAACTATCTAAACTTAATTCGACTCTTTTAAAAAACTTGTGTTTCTCGCCTGATAGTATAATTTGAATTTCCAGATGACCAATAAATCTACACTTTAAACGGTTGATGTTTATCACCTTATAGACTGGTATTGTTCTTCCAACAAATATTTATCCTTTTAATATTAATAATTTTTAATTGTTAAGCTTCGGAAAAAAAACAAGGTATACTTAATATTATGTTCTTCTATATTTCTAGCTCATATGGTATATTTAGCATAAATGTACGACCTCGATCATAATATCCTAGGTCAATATTTATTATAAGTAACTATTACAGGCTAAAATTTATAAAAATTAATTTTTATTATACATTTTTAAACGTTTCTGTAGGTATTTTTTTTATTTATATTTTATTTCTGTTTTTGATCCAAGTATAATGATTTTATATTGAAAAAAAGTTAAACAAAATAACAACTGTATCATAGTGCAATAACTGTAACGATATATAGTTTTATCTTTCGTACCACGTTAAATTATACATAGTAATGTAGTGTCATTTGTATATCGTATGATTATGCCCAAGCACACATTATTATTATTTACCTGTGTGACTTAGTTTGCACCCTCGAGAGCGTTTAGTCGACAGTAAATAAATGATTTATTTGCTGCCGGTACATATAGATATGTAATATTCTCGACATCTCGTTTTCCGTACACACTTGACATTATGTGTAATAGACAAAAGGCTCACACGTGTACGTACAATAATCCTCTTATGTCGTTACGCGTACCTACTCATATTCGTATGAAACGTATGTATGTGTGTAAGTTCACATATTATACTCCTATAGAGCATCGAGTCGTATAAATACAATGAGTACATGATATTGACGTTTTCGTGAACTGATTTTTTATCAATAATTTTTCTTCTTACAAACTTATATTTTGAAGGGTTTGAAAAAATGCAGGATGAGTGCACATGAATTACGCGAAAAAATTGGCTTTTTACGCCAATTTAAATTAAATTATTGATTAATATAATTATTCAATTATATGATTATTTTTATACGATATACGAAATGACACAGGTTAGTACGGCCGATCAATGAGAACGGGTATATGGAAAAACGAAGAGAGATTACGATCAGGAAATGCGTAAGAAGATTAAATCTGGAAATCCTCATTAACATCGGTTTTTCTTTTTTTTCGGCTAGATCGTCTTATAAGGAATATCTTAATATACGATTTCGCATTCGTACCCGAACGATTAGTCGTAATTTTTACTCGGAATAATACATACGTTTGTATATAATACACAAATAAATATGGACACCTTCTAACGTTGTATTGATAGGTTATTTTACATTTGTATATCTCTTATAATTAATGAAATAATGTAAAATATAAAAATGTACAGTTTATGAAACGATAAATGAAAAATAATTAAAGTTGCTTCTTTACATGCGTTTCGGCTGAGTGAAAATAACTGATAGTCTTAAAGTTTTGACCTAAATTTTGACGAAGCCA